GTGTTAGGGTTCAGGTATTGAGACCCGCATTGTATGACTATAAGATGAGGTGTCACAAGGTGACTTATATTCGAAGGTTATTTATTTGAGAAGATCATGCTCGAAAAGTATTTATTTTGAAAGAACTATTATTTTTGAAAAGAACATTTATTTGAACGAAGTATATTTCGAAATATTTTTATCACTTGAAGGATGTGTCACTACCCGGGTTTCCCACCCTCGGGAGTCGTGATGGCGCCTACTAGTAAAAGTTAGGCAAGCCAACTCTTTGAACAATTTACTTTTTTCCCATTTTTAATCCTTTAACAATTATGAACCAACAGTTTATAAACAACAGAATTTAAACAAGCGGAAGAAACAAATAAAATCGTATAAATATTTCTAATACAATTTCTTAAGCAAAGACTACCCAGAACTGGTATCACAACTTCACAGACGGTCTAGGAATACTTCAAATAAGATCCAAAAAATAAATACTACACTGTTTCTGAAATACATAAATGAAACATGATGAAAGGATAGAGGGAGACGCCAGGGCCTGCGGACGCCTGCAGGACTACCTTGGATCTCTGAATGGACTGAAGATAGCAACCCAAAGCTACGGTCTATATGCTCCAGTACCGAGATCTACACACAGTGTAGAGTGTAGTATCAACACAACCGACCCCATGTGCTGGTAAATGCCTAGTCTAACCTCGGCGAAGTAGTGACGAGGCTAGGACCAGACTACCAAATAACCTGTACAGTTAAATCATATACAGCGGAAAATAAAAGCATGAATGTATAGTTAAGAATGGGAGGGGGAAACATGCTGCGGGGAAACATCAAATGTTAACAGAAGGACAACAGGTAAATATAAGGAACACCATAGCTCAACTATCAACAAGAATCAGAAATCAAACAAGTGCACGGTATCACCCCTCGTGCTTTTACTCTCGTCCTCACCATATGAATCAATATAATCTGCACGGCATCACCTTTCGTGCTTTTACTCTCGTCCTCACCATAAAAATCAATATAATCGGCACAGAATTGTACATCATGCGGCACGACATCACCCTTCATGCTTTACACTCTTCCTCACAAAATCATACACGGCATCACCCTTCGTACTTTAACAATCTCTCACTAAAATAATACACGACATCACCCTTCATGCTTTACACTCTTCCTCACAAAATCATACACGGCATCACCCTTCGTACTTTAACAATCTCTCACTAAAATAATACACGACATCACCCTTCGTGCTTTAACGCTCTTCCTTACCCAAACAACAATCACAAACAATAAGGGTAAGGAAGTAAATAAAGTCATAATAAAATCCCAACAATGGAAAAATAGTTCAACAATAAATCCCGGCAAGGGAAAAATATCAAAAACATCAACATCCCAGCAAGGGAGATAGCATTAAAAGCAACAACATCCCGGCAAGGGAGACAATATAATAATCCTCTTCTCTTTTTCACATTTACTTCACAACTCATTTCACAACTTGAGCCAATGCTCTATAAGGTTCAATTGCCAATTATACTTCCATAATTCATTATACAACTTGAGCCAACGCTCTTCAACATTCAAATACCACTATTACTTCCACAAGCTTTACTCAACAATAGAAATTATAACATAAGGGATGAACAATACAAACGAAGACACATTAATCATGGTATAAGACTCACAGGCATCCTTGACACCAACGTATAGATACTCATCACCATGCCTATACGTCGTACTCAACAACTAACACATAGCAAATAGGACACAACTCCTAATCCCTCAAGCTAATATTAGACCAAACACTTACCTCGATGCCACTAACGCAATTCAAGTCTCAACTATCACTTTACCTCTTGATTCCACCACCAATTCGCTCATATCTAGCCACAAGTTACTTAACTATATCAATAAATGCTAAATGAATCAATTCCAATGTATGAAAATAGGTTTTCTAAAGTTTTTTTCCCAAAAAGTCAAAAATTGTCCCCGGTCCCACATGGTCAAAACCCGAGGTTCGAATCAAAACCCAATTACCCATTCCACCACAAACCCAAATATATAATTTGTTTTGAAATCGGACCTCAAATCGAGGTCCAAATCCTCAAGATTTGAAAAACTTAGGTTCTACCCAAAACACCCAATTTCCTCTATGAAAACCTTTGATTTTAAGTTGAATCACGAGAAAAGATGTTAAAGATTAATAAAAACGAGTTAGAAATGACTTACAATTGATTTGAAAGAGTACTTGTCCTTGAAAAATTGCCCAAGAGTGTTTAGATTTTGAAAGCGTTTGAAAAATGGTTGAAATGCGTCTAAGTTATGATTTTGTAGGTTGCAGATGTCGCAATTGCGACCAGGGTTCACAATTGAGAACCCCTCAGACTGCTAACTTCGCAAATGTGAAGCTTTTGTCGCATTTGTGACCCAGCTTATTTCTGGTCACCTTCGCATTTGCGAGGGAGCATTCGCAAATGTAATGTCGCGTTTGCGATAAAGAAGTCGCATTTGCGACCAAGGCAGCCCAGGTCAGATATCTCATTTGCGAGCTCGCATCCAGTCTTCGAAACCTGCAACATACCAGCTAAAAACCTACAACTTCCTAAGTTCAATTCCACTCCGTGGCCTATCCAAAACTCACTCGAGCCCTCGGGGCTCCAAACCAAACATGTACACCAACCTAAAAATATCATACGGACTTGCTCGTGCAATCAAATTACCAAAATAACATCAATAACTATGAATTGAAACCAACCTAAAAATATCATACAGACTTGCTCGTACAATCAAATTACCAAAATAATAACAATAACTATGAATTGAACCCCAAACTCATGAAATCATCCAAGAACACCCAAAATTCCAATTTCTTAACTTTAAGTCCGTTTTATACCAAACCAATCCCGATCTTTACCAAATTTTACAGATTCAACCAAATTATTATTTCAAACTTGTACCGGGCTCCGGAACTAAAATACGGGCCCGATGCTATCAAATTCAAACATATTTCATTTTCAAAAACTCATATATATTCCAGAAAATAATTTTCTTTAAAAATTTATTTTTCGGGCTTGGGAACTCGGAATTCGATTCCGGGCATACGCCCAAATCCTATATTTTCCTACGGACCCCCCGGGATCGTCAAATCATGAGTCCGGGTCTGTTTACCCAAAATATTGACCGAAGTCAACTTAAAATTCATTTTAAAGGCAAAATTTATCATTTTCATAGATTTTCACATAATGGCTTTCCGGCTTTGCGCTCGGACTACGCATGCAAATCGAGGTGAGGCAGAAAGAGGTTTTTAAGGCCTCGGAACACAGAATTTATTTCTAAAATAAGTGATGACGATTTGACTAATCGATTGAAGTTTGCTAGCTAAAACCAAATGTGAAAAATTGTCGTAATTGCTAAGTTATGACTTGTTTTTGCTGTACTTGTGATTTCGGATTTGGGTTGTATTTTCGTTAACGTTTCTGTGTTCTTATCATAGTGTTTCACTGTTACTTGTTGTTTTTCCTTCCTTATTGCAATTATTGTGTTGTTAGCTATATCGAGTTGTCTTTATATAGATAATATGTTCTGTTGTTCCTATACTTATATTTGTTCTGCTTATTAGACCAGTAGGTGTCTTGACTGTTCCTTGTCAGTACTCCACCGAGGTTAGTCTTGATACTCACTGGGCATCGCTGTGATGTGCTCATACTACACTTATGCATATTTTTGCATGCAAATCCAGGTATTGATCGTTAGTAGCTGAGTGGATTCTTGCCGAGGAGACTCAAGGTAAACATGTTGTTGCATTCGCAGGTTTCGGAGTCACCTTCCTATTTTTATATTCACATTATTGTACTTATTTCCATACGGTTGTGTTTAGAAGTTGTAGCGAAACTTTGTAGAGCTTATGACTTGTACTACCAGGTTTTGGGAATTATAAATTTTGTAGAAATTTCTGCTTCAAAATTGTTAAATTTCATTTATTATTGTGGTATTTCAGTGTGAGTTAGGCTTACCTAGTCCCTAAGACTAGGTGTCATCACGATACTCAAACAGAGGAAAAGTTGGGTCGTGACATTAGCCTTAAGTTGAAGATGGGTACTATTATTTCTCTCCTTTGTCAATTAATATTTGTTGCATTAATTTGTGGATCGCGATCTCACACTAATCCTTACATGTTCCCGTAGTAGGCCGGCCAGCGGCCCTACCTAAACCAATTATCAAATATCAGTACCTAGGCCCCATTACAAGAAAGGTTCGACTTCCAAGCCGTACATGGAGCTTCTGCCTCATACAGCTCCTCTAGGGACAGAGATAAGTTCAGTCCAGACTTGTGCAGTTAATTTATTTTTTATTTTTCTCCTCTCTAGCCGTACTTTTTAGTACGCATTTGGACATATATTGGTAAATGTTTGGAAAAAAATATAATATTTAAATTGAAAATGAAAATGAGTATTTAAAAGTTGTAGTTGTGTTTGAACACAAAAATATAACTGAGTTTTGTGAGTGAAAACTTAAAAAGGTACAAGTTTGATATATGCAAATGTCTACAATGCATGATATACTTCCATTATCTAGTAGCATGTCATGTGTGTACGTTAGGAGCGAAGCTTTGCAACTCTCACTATCAATTGACCGATTTACCAGCTTAATATTATTATTATTAATTATTATTATTATTATTACTATCTATTTTTTTTTAAAATCTATATATATTGTATATAACAACAATAATTCAGTAAAATTTCATAAGTGGGGTTTGGGGAATATAGTATGTACGCAAATCTTACCCCTACTCTAGGGGATAGAGACGTTGTTTCCGAAAGACCCTCGGCTCAAAATGACGAAAAGAAACATTATATATATTGTCTCTTATATATACTTGAAAAAGAATAACTAAAATGAAGCCAAATAAAAAATGCAGTAAAATCTTTGAAAACGATTAAAAGTTATAGTAAAAAAGATAAGAGAAATAAAAGGAGCAATTAGAAAAACACTAGGTGATTTTCATCTGTCCAAATCTTAACGAGTAGAAATACCTAATATTTATGCTAGTGGAACATAGTAAGTATCTGATGGAATTTAAGGTACGCACAAACTAATCCAAACAACACCGTTTTAAAGAAAAAAAAACAAAGAGCAGCTAGCAATATATAAGTATTAGCAACCTAAGATCCTCAAATGTGGCCAACTTGCTTTTAAGTTTTTCTTCCCATTTTTACTTGTTTTTCCATCCTTAGTACTTTTGCTTCTCTCAAAATGCAACTCCTTCTTCATGTTAGATGATTGCTCCAAATCTTGTGCCACCTTATGAGATTTGTTCTAAAAAAAAAAAAAAAAAAAGAATTAAAAAAAACAAAATTAAAATGAAAGGAAATAAAATAGTTCTTATTTTTTTAAAGCATATATTTATGGGTTAGATTTCTATACTGGCAGTGCAAATTTTTTTACCATATAACCGAAAAGATTCCTATAGGTAATCGTCCATTAAAAAAATGAGATTAGTAACATATACAGGTACACATGTACAACAAGTTAAAATAATGATAGCGTAGATTAATTAGAGGACGGATTATATTTTACAAGTGGATTTTAGATTATCATATTAAGTCGATCTATCATAGTCAATAAAATTATATAATAATTAGTTAAATTGCATTGGTAATATAAAAGTTTGTTTATAAGCTACAAACTTTATCGCCAATTTGTCGGTAAATCGCTCGTAGCTAATAGAATTTCTTGATAATTTTTTACTATTCTGAGCTAAATAGGATTAGCGACGAATTTTTCTATTTAGCTATAACATTTGCATCGCTATAAATTGGGGTTAATAGTTACAAATTTGATAAAACCTAATAGCTTTAGCTAAAACTTTATATTTATGTTAAAAATTCATTTAAATATATAAATAATCTATCCAAAATCTAGTAAGTGAAAATAATTGTGATCCAAAACGCATAAACTAAAAATCCCGACTGCGCCTCTGAACTAAATTAAAATGAATTTGACAAAACATTACCTGTGAGGATTCACACTCGTTGAGGGAGAGTTGAGATTGTGATTTGCAGGGAGGTTTTGGATAATCAAAAGTTGGATAAGAATTCCAATCTGTTTGTTTCTTGGTATCATTTCTGGAGCTTTCTGTAAATGGAGTCTGTATATTGGAAGAGCATGATGTTTTTGCAGCTTCAATTTCCAGGCATAGCTGCATTAATAAATGAATAATTAATTTAAATACTTGTTTATTCAATTATTCAAATTAAAAATGGTTAGTGGATATGTAATATACGTATAATCAATGTTGAATATGTATATAATCATTTATAATTTTGTTTGTAATCTGTGTATACCGGATACAACAACAACAACAATAATAACAAAAACAATATATTCCCACAAATAGGGAACACATCAAATCGTGAATCAGGCCGACAATTTGTTTAAAGATCCCTTAATAAATAGTCATCACATGAACATTTAATTTATATATACACTGTAAAAGATTTTTACATTATCGTTATATTTAACCTGTCGTAACATGTTACTTACCTTGTATTTTAGGTTACTAATACTACTAATTACCATAAATGGTAATTAACCTATAATTATCTCCAAGTGATTTTGAAGTCTAATTCTTTTAAACCGTCATAACATAGGCGCACCTATGTTATAGAATGAGAGGTTACCGACACCCGTAAAGTTCGCAAAAATTAAATTTTATGTATATATGTATATGTTTCTAAAAAATAGTGATATATTAATAGTGACACCATATATACAGAGCGAATTTTGGTTGAATGCAAATGTGCACCCGCTACTTCTAAATTCTAGGTCCGCCTCTGAATTCGTCAATATATCTATATACAATCTATATGAGTTTTCCCGGAATCAGCCTCTTTGCCCTTCCGGAATAGGGGTAAGGTCTGCATACATTCCACCATTTTCAGATCCCACTAGTGGAATTTTACTGGGTATATTATTGTTGTTGTTGTACAATCTATATGAGTTTTACGTTCTACGCATTGACAGAGAAAAAAAAAATATTACATAATTGTTACTCCTTTAAATAATTTGGAGAAAGAATTTAACCTGAAATAGCCGAGTCTCGAGAGAAGTTAGACGATCCAAGAGTGAATTTTTGGATGAAGTTTCTTGAATTTCCACTTTCATTGGCACAAATTGCCCCTTTCCTTTACAGCATATTGATACTGTTTTTTGTCTAATTATATTCTTCTTTTTCACCTTCTCTTTTTCTTCAATACGTTTCACCTTTTAATAACCAAAAATAAAAAAAACATTAGAATGGAAAAAATGGAACATAAATATATAACAAAATATCAGTTTCAAGAAATTAAATGAACTTACAACAATAGAATCTAAGGGATTCATTCTTTAGACAAGCTGAAAGCCTAGTATGATGAAATGGTTTTTCTTACTTATGTTTATTAATTGGTTGTGAACTGATTTATTGGGATATTAGTTAAGATCTAAAAATAAATCTAAATTATTGGTAGACTATTTCCAAAACTGTTAAGATCTAATTCCCATAAATCTCTCCTCTTTCTTGACCATGTTGAGCCTTAGATGGCCAATATGTGGAGGAGCACTTTATGGTCAATATTTACATCCAGTGTAAATATCGAGTGCGGGTAAATTTTTACCAGCTTAATCATACGTTATCTAGTAAGTAATATTTATATGCAGTGTAAACACAAAGTGCGAGTTAGTTTTTACCAGCATAATTATATCTTATTTAATAAGATTTGCATGCAATGTAATTACTGAGTACGGGTAAGTTTTTACCAGTATAATTATATGTTATCTAGTAATATTTACATGCAGTGTAAATATCGAGTGCGAGTAAATTTTTACCAGCATGATTATACGTTATCTAGTCGTTACGAGAATTCATCATGGATTGATTAGTTATATGTTGGTTGCCAACCTACAATAATCCTCTTCCTTTATTCAGTTTTGTGACCAGCAATATGAATAAGCTCACACAGGCAGAGTTAAATAACTAATCTCCAGTTAGAATCGGGGACCTTTAGTTTGTGAGATTACCGTGTTAATCAATTATAATACTAATTATTTTAATTTTGTATAATGTTAACCGGGACGAATATAAAGGGATAAACATGGTTAGTGCATGAGAGTCTATACAAATAAACTCAATTTGTTTGGGATTGAGGCGTGACTATCATTGTTTTATATTATTAATAATTATCTAGGCACATAAAAGGTAATTAAATATTACAGTTCTATTTATAATAACGACAGTTAGTAACCTGAAAAATAATACAAATAGCGTTTGTACACCATATTAATTTAATTGCACTTATTTTTTTTTAAATGCATTTCTTTTTTCTTAACTACAGCAAATAGCATGGAGGAACATAAGGGCCAAAAAGGAAAGAAAAAAAAAGTTGGCATCCACATCAATCTGACCAATGGTGTACTTTTGTGTAGGGCTGTTCATTCGGATTGGATATCCGAAATTCGAACTGATCCATTCAATTTCGGATTTTGGATTTAGGATTGGATCGGATCGGATTTCGGATTGTGTTTATTAAAATTTCGGATTTCGGATCGGATTCGGATTGGTATATTTTAATCCGATCAGATCCGAAATTCGAAATTATTAGGGCATATACAAATACTACACTTTAATTTCGGATACTCAGTACTTCCTTTACATCAACCTCCAAGTTATTACCTTTACAATTGCTAGATTTAGCTATATTGGCACCATAGTACGCTCATAATTGCATAAACATGAATTTTTCTTAATGTATTGCCTCTTTTACAAAGAAAATATACATATTAGTTTAACTTTGAGGCATAATAATACGATCCGAAATTCGATCCGATCCAAACTTTAAAATCCGATCCAATCCGATATAATTCGGATCGGATTCGGATTGCATTTTTTAGAATCCAAAATCCGAAATTCGAATCCGAAATGTGCTAAATCCGATCCGATCCGATCGGTGCACAACCCTACTTTTGTGGTGGGATTATAGTAAATCTTGAACGAATGTCAATTTTTCAACTATTTGAAGTGGCAAATGGCAATAATTGAGATTTTTCATCATGCAAAACAACTTCAGAAAGTTAATGGCTTTGTTTCTTATTTATTTATTATTTTTATTTGATATTCAATATCCTTTTTGGAGTCCTAATTAATATAAATTCATGTTATATAACGCTCATTAAATGCGTTTTCGTCAGAATTTCTTTTATGTTTAGGACTCTATTTGGCTAAAACGACTGATAGATACTCTTAATATAATTTGGTATTATCTGTTTTAGGTTATATATGCAGTTTTTCTCAAAAGGCCTCATACCATTAACCCCTCACCATTATGGGCAAATTTAGAGATTAACTATGTGCTATTCACATGATTCAAGTTATAAACTGGGTCATAGATGGGCAAAGGCAGTAAGTCAGGCCCCATGCCACATTCCGCCATCTCCACACTCGTCCAACCAACCAGAAGCAGAGCTAGAGCATATGTTATAGGTTCGGCCGAACTCAGTAGTTTTAATCCAAACCTTATTTTGGATCCGCCTCTGCAGCCAACCATTGGCTCTTATATGTATTGTTGGATTAAAACGGTCCACACGTACTCTTAACATGGTGTGATATTGTCCGCTTTGATCTTTCCAAAATGCTTTATACCATTAAGAATATCTAACTCCTTATAAGTAACTTTTTTTTTCTTTTTACTTTTCATGTTGTACTTTATTCACACATATCCAACAAACTCGAATCCGAGACATCTGATTATCGAGAGTTTCTTCGACAATATCCGGCTACAATTGGACTTCCATTGGAACAACATATCTTCATAGCCATTTCGAAACATATTCAGAAACATGCTAGCTAGTTTCAGCTGACCAAAGTTCATTGAATCCAATCGAAGCTCAAATCAAAAGTGTTACGCAAGAAAATTGTCACTAAAAAAAGGTGCAGAAAACTTAAAAAGACGATAATATGAAAGTGTACTATTCAAAATATATTGCTACGAGTTTATTTTGTCGTCCATTTATTCCTTTATTCTTGACCAGAGCTTTCAGGTACCCTCGTTATGGAGTCGCTTTTGTTAGAGAACATTTTATCCCAATGTGGGACTTTCCGATTGGAATCCGAGTTTTGTCGGACCCAAATATAAATATTACAGTTCTATTTATAATAACGGTAGTTAGTAACCTGAAAAATAATACAAATAGCCTTTGTACACCATATTAATTTAATTGCACTGATTTTTTTTAAAATGCATTTCTTTTTTCATAACTACAGCAAATAGCATAGAGGAACATAAGGGCCAAAAAAGGAAAAAAAAAACTGGGATCCACATCAATCTGACAACAATGGTGTACTTTTGTGGTGGGATTATATTAAATCTTGACCGAATTTCAATGTTTCAACTATTTGAAGTGGCAAACGGCAATGACAGAGATTTTTCATCACGCAAAACAACTTTAGAAACTTAATGGCTTTGTTTCTTATTTATTTATTTCTTTATTATTTTCACTAGATATTCGATATCTTTTTGGAGTCTTAATTAATATAAATTCGTGTTATATAAGGCTCATTAATTGCGTTTCCGTCAGAATTTCTTTTATGTTTAGGGCTCTATTGAGTTTAAACAATCCATAAATCCGTCAGAATTCATTTTAGGCCAAACCCATATAGTTTTTTCTAAAAGGCCTCGTACTATTAACCCATCATCATTCTGGGTAAATTTAGAGATTAACTGTGTTTCATTCACATGATTCCAGTTATAACCCATAGATGGGCAAAGGGACTAAGTTGGGCCCCAACGCCACATTATGCCATTTCCACACTCATCCAACCAACCATTGGCTCTTATACCCGTTTTAGTCCCGCTGGACTAAATGGACTAAAGATACTCTTAATATGGTGTGATATTGTCCGCTTCGAGCCAAGTCGTATGATTTTTTTCAAAAAACTCATACTATTAAGAGTAACTAACTCTTTATAAGTAGCATTTTTTTCCATTTCTACGATACTTTGTTCACATATACTTAACAAAGCTCGAACTCGAAACATCTGATTATCGAGAGTTCCTTCGACAATGATGCAAGCACATATGCTAGCTAGGTTCAGCTACCTCTAAGCTAAGTTCATTGAACCCCATCGAAGCTCAAACCAAAAGTGTTACGCAAGAAAATTGTCAGGAAAAAAAGGTGCAGAAAACTTAAAAAGAAGGATACTATGAATATGAAAGTGTACAATTTAAAATATATTGCTACGAGTTCCTTTTGCTGTCCATTTATTCCTTCGTCCTTTACTAGAGGTTTCAGATTCGAGCTTGAATATGGAGTCGCCTTTGTTAGGGAGTGCTTAATCCCCAATGTTAGATTTTCCAGTGCGAATCCAGATTGAGTCCGGCCTCAATATAAGTACCGAACACCAGATGAGAAACCAAAAAGAAAAAGAAGGTTCTAATAATTGATTGGAATCATTTTCCTAATTTTAGCTTTACATGTTTTATTTTAATTCGGTTACCTGCTTCTCTATGTTTTCTTGATTTTTGTCACATTAAGTGCACGTTTGGACATGAAATTTGATGGAAATTAAATTATTATTTTTTTTTTCGAAATCAGCATTTATTCAAAAATTTCCAATTTTCACAAGATGCATTTTAAAATTTTTTGAAAATTTGAAAAACTGCAAAAAACTATTTTTCAAAATTTTCACTCAAATCACTCACAAAACTGCAAAAACAACCCAAACTGAAATTTATGTCCAAACACAACTTTAAATTTCAAATACCATTTTCAGTTGAAAAAAAATTTCACAATTTTTTTGAATTTTACAATTCTTATGTCCAAACGCCTACAGCCTACTAATAATGGTAGGGATATATTAAAGATTAATTTATTGAACAACTACGTTCAAAGTTCGTAATTCAATATCATGGTGAAAATGCCGTGATTTAGTTTTGTTCGTCACATCAAAAAAATTAGAGTCGAAAATTTTGGTAATACAACCTAGCTATGATAGAGACAGTTCCACTAATTAACAACATCGTAATTACTTAAAACAGGAGATCTTAATTACAATCCATAATCCATTTTGACTAATAAAAAAAGGTCAGCTTTAAGATAGACAACTCTTTCTAGGAGGAAAACACAAAAGGTAAAGACTTTCTAATGTGTATAATCCGATATTAAACAATTAAACAGATTTTTAATGTGTATAATCCGATATTAAACAATTAAACAGATTTTTATTACTCTCACCCACTGTTCACACTAAATTAACTTATTTATTTATAATTATGAGCACAATTATCCTTTCACATAATCATACTACTCTTATCTGTATCGTTCCAAATTACCTAATATCACGGAACACACAATTTATTTTTTCCTAAACCCTCCTTAGTTACATAGACAGGGTCAGAAATTGAAGTCTATGGGTTCGAAATTCTATTCTTTTAAGCATTGTCGGCTCGATGGAGTACGGGGCCTAAAGTTAAACCGTTATTAGAGGACTTTGGAGACAAATATTGTTAATGCCATTTCTCCCTGAAAAATATCATAATGTTTGAAACTATGCTATAATGATTATTGAAATGGTTGATTACAGGATTTTCTTATTAATATAAAAGTAATTATTTAAAATATACTTATTATATAATATGGCCTAAAGCCTTGGCTTTAGTTGCCCTGGGGTTGAGCCATCTCAGCTCCCGAATCGTACGTGAGCTGTCTCGTACGGCAATTCTTAAGAACTTGAAGTCCCCTTTCTCTAAATAGAAAAAAATGCATTTACACGACAAAAAAGACTTTTATTAGATTCTAACCAAATAACTTGTATATATTCAGTAGGTTTCTTAAGATAATTTATTATTAGAATTACAATTATTGAGTTCTACTGAATCAGTAGACTATATTCACACTACCCACCCTAAATTCCACTTGTGAGATTTCAATAAATTTATTATTTTTGTTGTCGACCGAAACCGTAACCTATATTCTAGCTCCGCCCCGCCTTAACAATATTAAGAAAGATAAAAAGAGGGTACTAAGTACTAACTACTGGTAATAATTGATTGGAATCATTTTCCTAATTGTCTCCTTGTAGATGTTTTATCCTTGCAAATCTCCAACTATCCTATTATCTCCACATGTCACATTTCCATTGGCCACCTAGATATCCTCAACTACAGACAAACACACATCTTAACTTGGACCCCACTTTTACACCCTCTAATCAAATCTCCACCGTCCATCACACAATCATGTCCTATCAAAAATCACCGTTGACTTAACAACGAAAAACAAAAACCAACGGTTGTTATTAATTCAATCTTCTTCTTCCTCTCTGCTCCAAAAACTCTACCACAATATGCACAACGACGCCGGAGAAGAAGAAGCTGAAGAATCTAAAACAACTTAAACGACATCGTTTTGTTAGTTTCTCGGTTCATTATTAGCTCCCGCTAATACACGCTTCCGGTTTAAACCGGAGACTTTGTGTAAATATGGAGGTACCGGTGCTAGCTCGGTGTACGAATACTCCGACGACGTCGTTTATGGGATGTAAAGTGAGTCAATTTGATTTTCCGATTAGGAGAAAGCTAAATAAGAGGAATTATAAGGCGAAGTTTTCAGTGTTAAGAGTTAAAGCTATGGCGGAGAGGTCGAGTAGTGGTGAGGCATCAGTGGATGCTAGAGAGAGAGAAAGTGGAGGTTACACGGGAACTACTATGGAGGTAACAACATTTAATCAGAGCTTTAGTGATACGCAATTGCCTGTTTGGGAGAAGATTGGTGCTGTCGTCAGACTCAGTTATGGAATCGGTGAGTTCTCAACTCGTTTTGCATTTTCTTAATTTTTTTTTTTTTTTTTTTT